CCCAATGGAGATGGAACACCATGGCCATCAGGGCTGGAAATTAGACTTGGGAAATCCCTGGTGGTGCCAGGCCATTATTACCCAGCCCGGGCTTGCTTCTGGGCTTTTAAGTGCATTAGAGCACTCTGCATTGACTTGACTGGCTGCTTGTGCTGGCTGACTTGTCAAATTACCTCTCATTTGTACAGCTCACCTGATGTTGTTGAAGCACTTTCCTGGCATTGGGAGCCGCTGGTTCATCCTAAGGGATCTGGGGACTGGGCCTAGTTTTACAGGTGGAGAAGCCGAGTCCTGGCTCTATTGAGTAAGTGTGTAGTTGGTCTCCTTCTAATGCTTAATGTTTGTAGCTGTAGTGATTTTTTTCATGAGGATAGATCTAAGGTTTCAGTCTGGCAGTTTAATGAGCCTCTGAGTGATGCTATGTTTAGGGTATCAGAGTGAAGCAGAGAGAGGACTGATTCATTATTGAACATGGGCTCTGTAGACCACCCAAAGAAATATCCTGGATTTGGGGGTTGACAGCCATTCTCTCAGTTATCTGGAGTCACAGACTGATGATCGAAAGCTATACAGCTGTCCACGTCACTCTGATAGAAGTGGTTTACTTGAGAGGCTGCTCAAGGGTGACTGCAGAACCAGTCTTGTAACTTCACCTTAGATCAATGCTATGTCCCCACTTGGTAGGGGGAGGGGCTAATTAAAGGAGAGAGGCAACACATCCATCCGCCGACCCATCAATTCATCCATCTGTCCATTCATTTACTCATTCCCACAGCCATCTCTCCTATACTTTTTGATTGAGTAACTACTAAGTGCCAGGTCTGGCACTCGATATGCACTTGGGCTGGGGGCAGGTTGGCTGGAGTCTGAAGGAGACGTTCAGCCAGGCAAAGCAGAGTCTCCAGACACCGTTTGGGTAAAAAGAATTCTAACAGGCAGCAGCTGGGGCCCAGGCTTCAATTACTCAGGACACTAGCAGAGATACAGTAAAAATGGGAATCAAAGCAATCTCTGACTGGAGGAGGAGCCCAGGGTTGGCATGGGAATGTCTCACCCTCTGCCAAGGGGAGTGACCTTACTCTAAGTCCCTATACAGTCATGAGAGGGGAACCTGAGGACTTGCCATCCATGCCTGGCACCCTGGACTGTAGGAGTCAAGCTGAGCTCCAAGTAGGGACACCATGAGACCAGGAAGGGAGTGTGGAAAGGCCAAGGTTGGGGCAGGAGACAGGGGGTCATGGGAAAGACTGTCCAGATTTACTAAATTGGAAAAATATTGCTTTTGGCTGCTGTTTTGATATGCAGACTTCCCTTTCAGCTAGGTTTGCCCACTTAGCTCTCTGTGAAAGTGAAAACTTCTACTTCAGTAAAGTCCTAATAATTTAGCTACATAAAAGTCATCATTGGGGGACTGTGACAATGCTTTTTCTTGAGCCCTGGCCCTACAGATTTAGATTCAGTGAGTCTAGTGGGGAGGGTGTCTCTGGATGAGGGGTAGCTCAGGAATCTGTATTTTAAACGAGCCCACCAGGAGATTCAGAGGCAGGTAGGGGATCCACGGAGACGTGTTTGGAAACCCTGTCAAATTCCGCTGGCACTCAGCTTCGGCCAGGGCCAGATGCAGAAGGGAGTCCCTGGCATCCAGTCTCAGTCCAGGTTCCTCAAATGGTCTTGCTGCTGCTGCCCCAGGACTGTTACCCAGGCCCCTTGCCTAGGTATTGGCCAGTCTTACGGTCCAGATTCTGTAGGTTGGGTCTTTGCTCTTTGTTCCTCAAATTCTTAGGCCTGGTTCCTTTGACCCAATTGCTTGCCCCCTCTCCCAACACTCCTTGTCATCACCTGCCCTCATTGGTCTCCTGGGACTCGACCACCTGTTGTCCAGATCCATTCTCAGCCCACTTCCCATGACTCCCTCCTAGTGCATGACCAGGGCACATGATGTTTGGCTGCAGCTTGTTACAAATGAAACCTTAAGACTGAGAAACTTCTAAAAGCTGCTGATCTGGGAAGACAGAGCTTTCGTACCCAACTTTAAATTGGTGGTGGAAGATAGGAGCTGAAATCTTGTGATAATTCTCTGACTTTTTCTTTTGGAGAACATAGTTAAATTAGAGAACTAAGAGAAGAATAATTATAAAGGGCTTGTGTATTGTGGTTCCTAAATCTAGGAATATGTCAGGACCCCTAGATTAAGACGCCGTTTCAAATGAGAAGTTCACGTATTTATGTTGACTCTGTATTTAACATGGAAACGTCCTTTCCTGAAACTCAAAGGCAGAGGCAGCTCCAACAAAAGTTTTAAGTTTGTGAAATTCTTGTCTTGCCCCTCACTTCCCTCTTACAGAACCATTGCTTGGACTTCTCCATAGTCTTTAGGACTCTCTGTCAGATTCTCCTACAAATAAAAAGGGAAGCAACCAAGATATTAGTACATGGCAACCATTAGCTCCATGTGTAACCACTACCAGGAGCATGTGTGTTTTAAAAGACAGTCTGTAAGAGAAGCTCCAAAAGGCAAAATGCCAAGAGTATAATTTCAGACACAGTAATCTGTGGTCAAGGAAGATATTTTGGGATCCTAAGTCCTTCTGGATTTCCAGAATCCACTGGTCAGTGACCACTGTCCATACACATGGGAACTCTGCTCATGGTGACACGTTAGATGGGCAGAGAGTAGCAAATGACTGTGGGAACTCAGGCTTGCTTTGAAGTAGCAAGATGGGTGTCAGTGGCAGGCAGCAACTTTGATTAGTCGAGAGTGGGCATTTGATTCTGTCTGAGCCAATTAGTCTGTACCACCCTCCTTGCCTCAAGTGATTGGTCAATCCATGGAGACTTGATACAGGTTGGACCAATTAGAGCCCTTCCCTGGGTCACAGAAGCTGCCAGTAGCCATGTTTCAGGGAGCTGGACTGGGAGAAGGAAACTCACGATTGGCAGAATCATGGAGATAGAAGGTGAGACAGAGTCCTCCGCGATTCTCTGGGTCAAACTGAACAGCTTCGGGGCTGTGTTAGTTTGCGGGGCTGCCATAACAAAATGCCACAGAGTGGGTGGCGTCAAACAACAGAAGTGTATTTTCCCACAGTCCTCTACACTGGAAGTCTGAGATTCAGGTGTTGGCAGGGTTGGCTCCTCCTGAGGCCTCTGCTTTTGGCTTGCAGATGGTATATTCTTCCTGCCTTCTTGTGGTCTTCCCTCTGTATGTGTCTGTGTCCACATTTCTTCTCATAAAGATGCCAGTCACATTGGATTAGGACCCATCCTAGTGACCTCATTGTACTCCATTACTGTTTTAAAGACCCTACCTCCAAATACCACCATGTTCTGACGTGCTAGAGATTAGAAATTCAACATATGAATTTTTGGAGGACACGATTCAGCCCATGGCAAGGGCCTAGTGATAAAGCACAGTACACAGATGCTTCCCACATCCACCTGTACTCCAGCCTTTCTCTGGCACTCCAAGGGATCAATGGCTATTGCAAATGGCATCTCTTTTCTTAGTATATTAGTATTTGGATATTGTTGGTGTGTATAATTTCTAGGGTCTTGCTATATTAGGTGTAGAAACACATTGTCTGTGATATAAGCTGCAACTATTTTCCCCGTTTGTCTTTTGTGTTGCCATACAATCTAAAGAATTACTTGTAAAATTATAACTAATTATTTAAAAGTTGCTCTGGATTGTGAATGGTAGTTGAGGTCTCTCTTGTAATGGTGATAATATGAATAAGGTGGCAGAGAGTTTAATGAGATCGGTGTACTTGGAGTCTAAGAATACCAGGCAGAGGGCAGAGACATGGCTGAAGCAATAAACCCTCTCTGGGGCCTTAGTGCACCTTCCCATGGGACACATGCTGCCTACTGCTCCCCTCTCTGTCCCCAAGCCCACACTAAGAGCAACCTTTGAAAAAATATAGCCCTAAACTTTCTAGTGCCTATAAGTGCTGTTTTCTCCCTACAAATATACAGGAAAGCTGGAAGAGGATGCAGGGGTGGGGACAGACTGTTAATAAGAACGTGTCAAACCTGTTAGTTTTCCATCCAAGTGAGTATGGCTCCGAATACAGATGCTGTAGCGGGGGATCTGGTGAGGTGGGGGTGGGAGTGGAGACTGAGAGATCGTTAGCCGCCCTCCTGCTTGCTGCCGGGGGTTATCAGATAAGAGCAAAACTGGCCAAGATGCTCTGTTCTCTGAAGTAGGCTCAGCTCGGGGAGAAATATTGATTCTGACCACAGTCATCCCTGTTTCAAAAGTTATTTCATGTTCGAAAGAAGTGATATGGTTGATGAAAGAAGATAAAAATATCTCTACCTGATATGACTTGGTGTTCATGAAACTGTATCCTTAAACAAATAACCGGCTGGAGTTTTGGTGACTGCAGTTGCCTCTCAAATGGTTCCTTGGGAGGAGGTCTAGATATTTATCCCAAGAGGCTGCTTCATTTCTAAAACTGTTTCTTAAGAGTAATGTCCTTTGAATAATGTCTGTACCGTTTGAGAGTAAGGAAGAATTTCAGAAATCATCAAAGGCTTTTGGAGACAGGGTAGGAAGTCAGTTTCGCTATTCGGTAGAGGCAAAGGTGGATTGATGGTGAAGTCCAGGACACTTCAGCCTCAAAGTCCCTCACTTACCAAGGCCCCTCCCCAGGGTCAGTGTGTTCTCCTCTAGGACTGAGGGGTGGAAGCAGCAGCCTAGCACACCTAGGCTTGGAGCACTGTGCCAGGTGGGCCTGCTCTCTACCTGTGCCACATCCCTAGTGACGGCCTGCTTCCCTGCTGGAAGGTCACCCTCTTCTCTTCTGTCTCATACCCAGTGATACCCCAGGCCCTCACTCCAAGATATTGAATAGACTGGGGGGTGCAGTTACAGAGGCAGTCTCAATAAGAGGCTATGAAGGTGGGAGACACCAATTATAAACTATCAATACTGAAAAAATACATTTCCATTGAGCATGCTAGAAGAAGAACTGAATTATTTTCTATTCTCTCTATAGAAAATGACATCGCAGAATCATTGTCATATGAAGAGGCATTCAAAGTTCAAAGAGTATGAAGCCAAAAAAGGTAGGAGAAATATATAGTAGGGTAGTTAATGAATAATAATGATGATGCAATAAATAATTTTCCTGGATTTTTTTCTAGCTTTATTGAGGTATGACTAACAAAAAAAAAAAATTGTATGTATTTGAGGTATACAATGGGATGTTTTGATATGCATCTATATTGTGAAATGATTACCATAATCAAACTAATTAACGTATCAAGCATCTCACATTGTTACCATTTTTTAAATTTTTTATGGTGAGAACACTTGAGATCTACTTCACAAACTTCAAGTATACAATATGGTATTGTTAACTATAGTCACCATGTTGTACCTTAGGTCTCCAAAACTTGTTCATCCTATAACTGAATCTGTACCCTCTGACCAACACCTTCCCATTTCCCCATGCCCCAGACCCTCGTAACCACCATTCTACCCTTTCTATGAGTTTCACCTTTTTTAGATTCCCCATATAAGTGAGATCATGCAGCATTTGTCTTTCTATGTCAAGCTTATTTCACTTAGCATAGCATCCTTCAGGTTCATCCATGTTGTTACAAATGACAAGATTTTCTTCTTCTTTAGGGCAGAATAATATTCCGTTATATACATACACCACCTTTTCTTTATTCATCCGTTGACGGACACTCAGGTTGACTCCTTACCTTGGCTATTGTGAATAGTGCTGCAGGAAACATGGGAGTGCAAGTATCTCTTCAAGACTGTGATTTTATTTCCTTTGGCTATATACACAGAAGTAGGGTTGCTGGGTCATTTGATTGTTCTGCTTGTAATTTTTGGAAGCACCTCCGTACTGTTTTCCATAATGGCTGTACTACTTTATATTCCCAACACTGTGCAAGGATTCCCTGTTCTCCACATCCTCCCCAACGCTTGTTATCTTTACCTCCTGACTTTGGATAACAGCCATCCTAACAGGTGTGAGGTGAGACCTCGCTGTGGTTTTGATTTGCATTTGTGCCAGTTATCACTTTGCTGCCTCTCCGCTCCTACCAGCCCTCTTCGCTCTTCTTTGTAGGCCAGCCAGGCTGTGCAAACATTTCTCCTTTATCTGCAGGCATAATGCCCAGCTTTGTCAGAGGATGGTGGTTGAGGGACAGTGGGGGACAAAGGGCCCCACTGTTTCTGGTATGCTTTTTTCTTTTTTTGTTTCTGAGGCTTTGGCCACCCCCTGTGGTGCTTACCCCAGCAAGTTTCAGGGCCACCGCGGTGGGTGGCTTCCAGTGAGTTCTGCCAACACTCCAGCCAGCTTCCCAGTAATCTCCCTGGTACCCTGGTAAGTGACCTTCCCAGCAAGTCTAGTCCACAGGCCAGCAGGTAGTTCTACTGCTTGCCAGACCTGGCCTGTGACACCTCGGCAAACTTCTCCAGCAATCACTGGGTTTGCTGAGAACACCCACACCCTCACTATCAAGCCCTGGAGAGGCTCTTCCAAAGTTTGTTCCTTCCTTTAGTACCCTTGGCCCTAGAGGTCGTGGCTGTTCCCTTTAACCACTGTTCCCATACTCTCAGTGTTCTCTTTACCCCTTAGTAGTTAATCCCGAGTTACCAGGTAATAATTCTCTATATTAAACTTTACCTGTTCAAATTACTTTGTGGATGCTTCCTTCTTTGTGAACCTTGATTAATACAGATATTTATTATCTCTTAAATTTGAATTTACCGACATTTCTTTTTTTATTCCAAATAAATATTCACCTTTATACCTGATCTTTATTTGTTCTATAGTATTCTTTTTTTTAAAAAGACAGTCTCCCAAATTATCCAAATTGTATAAGCTTCAGGCCCCACAAAACCTATATCAGCAGCTGTGAGGTTGGAAGGCATTTCAGGAACGTCAGACTCTGTGGAGCAGCCATCTCAAAGTTTCCATGGGGCTTGATGGGCTGCAGTCTCAGGGTCAGGGCTGGTGGCAGAGATTACAGGATGTGGCTCTCACATGGGTCTTACGGATCGTAGGTTACCTCACTCCAAACGAATATCACCACGTACTTACATTCTACCTCATACCACACGGTATTGAGGTAGATACCACATTGAGAAAACTGGGGCTCAGGGTGGGGAAGGGACAGGCCTGAGATCACAGAGAAAGTTAGCGGTGGAGTCTGGGCTAGAATTGGGTCTCCTGACCCCCAGAGCTCAGTACCCCTGTGAGGGAGGCAGAGGAGGGGGGGAGAGCGAAGTCTCTGAGGCGGGCCTAGATCGCATCTTCCACCTAGGCAGTGACAGGCTTCGTAACTTAGGCCAGCCTCCCCCAGGGAACAGCTAGAAAAACTGGACAAAGTATAAAGTCTCCTTGAGGCACCAGAGACCCAGCTAAGCAGTGAAAAATGACAGTGTGCTGAGATCTTGGAGGCAAAGGAAAACCTGAAATACGAGCTTAGCATTTGGGGTTACTTTTCCCTTTGGAGCATCTGCCTGTTCCAAAAAAGGCAATTGAGAAGGAGAAAAACTGAGTAAACTCTTGGTAGCCTCTGGGGTGAGGGATCATGGCTGACACCTCCTTCCCTTCATTCCATCTGTCATCAGACCCTGCCACTCTTACCTGAGAATGTCTCTGGAATCCGTTCATTTCTCTCCACCTCCCAGAACTACCCTGGCTCGACCTGCCAGCACTTCACATGTAGGTCATTGCCTCTATGCCAGGGCCCCTCCAGTCTGCTCTTCATGCCTAAGTTCCTCCACAGTGCACCCAATGTGACCAGGCCACTCATCTACTTATTTTTTTTTAACATTTTAATTATTTCTCTTTATATCTGGGATTCAGACCCAGGGCTTTAATAGGACCTGCAAGACCCTGCATGGTCTGACTTCACACCATGCATCCTTCAACTGGTCCGCACCCTGATCTTCTTTCTGCTCTATGCCCTCTCCTATCGCAGGGCCTTTGCAACACGCTCTACTTGTGTCTGGAATGCTCTTCCTAAGTCTTGTTCCTCAGGTCATGTCTTAGCTCTACTTGCGGGAGGGGCACATCTGAAAGGGAAAATGAGTATTCTCTCTTATCTCATCAGCTTCCCATGGATGTGTGAACCATGAAGACAAAGCTAGAACACCAATGCCCACCTGCTGCAGGGCATCTTGAGGGGCCTTAAAGGGGGAATACTCAGAATTGAAGCAAATCATACCAGACACCCTAATCTGAAAGGCAGTAGATATTTGAAGCTGGCCTCTCCTTTCTGGGGAGAGAGCTGGTGTTCCCTCTGGAAACCAGTGGTGGCTCCCCGCAGAGTGGCTTTTCCCTGCCCAGCTAATCAGGCTGATCTGAATCCTCCTCATCCATCTGAGTTCATCGGGCCCTTGCCAGTCTGTACAGTGCAGGCAGAGCACAGTGTTGCAGGAAGTCCACCTTGGCAGATGCGTACACCTGCCATGGAATGTTAAGGAGGAAAATTGGACAAATTAAATACTCTAGCTTTGTTCAGCTCATGGGATCTGGTTCATTGTTAAGGGATTTGGGACAAGTACAGAATTGGGAGCAGACTTCATATTGGGCAAGGGTTTATCTAATAAAATCCTTGTGAAAGTTTCCCTTTTTGGGAACTTGAGCTTATGCTGGGACAGGACTGCCTTTTTTACTATGAGGGTCACACTGCGGTCAACACAATTTTCTAAGGCTGTGCAGGCCAAACACTTTCCTCTAGGTTACTCTGGGAAACTGACAGCCACAGCTACTGTTACGCAGGGAGAAAGCAGGAGGCAGAAAAAGTCCCACGAGGAAATGGAGTGATTTTGTGTGTTCCTTGAGGATCATGCTAATTGGGTTTAATGAATTTTGGTATTTTTTGCATGTTCATGTGTGCATGTGGAACAGCCTTAATAGAAAAGCAATTGACTGTGCTGCTTAGTTCCCAAATCACTGCAGTCCTATACAACTAAATGCTTAGAAAGATGACAGAAAACACTTGCAATGGGACAAGCAGGAATTCCTGAGACAAGAGGGAAATTGACACAGTGGAGGAAAGAATGGTGCCAACTCTGAGAAAAATCATAACAGTTTCTAGGTGCCAGATTTTCTCTTCCACCCTAAAATTTGGGTGTCCTTGCCATTTTCTCTGAGTCTGCTGGGAACCATCACACATATGAATGAGGAACATTAAACCTGTGCCTGCCCACATTTGCTCCTTGTTTGGGACGTCACAGTCTTGGGTCTTCAGAGGCACGAGGGCTAGGACCCTCCCCCACAGCCACCTGATCACAGTGCTGTGTGACCTCAGTCCACAGACATAGTCCACACAGCGTGCCATGTAGGTGGCTGGCCCAGCCTTGCAGATTTTAACCAGATAGCTGCTTCATCAATCCTTCATGGATCAAATCTCCTCTCTAAGCATTACCTACTGAAGAGCCTGTACTGCCAGGCCTGCCCAGATTTTCTTAAATCAGGTGCAATTACATAGCATAACAATGGACTGAAATTGTAATTCCTCAACCTAGTCCTGAACCTTCTGTCTTCAGCTCTCTCTCCCTCTGAACTATTTTCCATTTCCTGAACATGCTTCTTCCTTACTTTCTAATGCCGTTCCCACAATTTGAGGCCTCTCATCCAATCTGTATGTATGAAAACTACCCACTATTCATATACATTTATGTGTGTGCATGTGTACATGTATGCAAACATACGTGGAAGTGTAAAAACAAGGGCAGACTTACTCTAGTTATGCCTTTTTATTTGGGGAAGTCAAGGTGACATTTATTGAAACAGAACCAAGTTTGGGAGAGAGGATGATGAGGTCATTAACAGACATGTTGAGTTTGCGGTGCTTATGAAACGTCCAATCAGTGATATATAGCACCCTTGCCCATGTAAATTATATCTCAGGAGGACACTCAGGGCCATGACAACAACAACAACAATAACTATTAATCATGGTTAACACTTATGTAGTATGTATTAAGAGCCAGACATGAGTTTAAATATTTTTATTAATCCTCTTAATTCTTACAATGTCCCTCTGAAATAGTCCCTCCAATTTACAGATGAAGAAACTGGGAACAAGAG